CCTACAGGGAAAAGGTAAACTTCAAACTTTTTAAATGATGTTTCATACCATAATAAATGCAATAGAGCCAACTGACTGATTGCTAGAGAAGGGTCAGATGGGCTAATTTTCCATAGATATGGCCAGTATTGTCTCTGGTGTTTATGCTAAAGATTATATTCACAAGCCTTTTACAGAACTGCTAGCATTCTTTTGCAAATTCTTATGCAAACTGTGTTAGAAATATTTACTGTGTTCTTTTTACCCTGTACCTGTGTCCCCAGTAAGAGGGAAGTCGAGAGAGACCAGTGAGCACTTCTAGGGAATATAATCTGAGTACACCTCAAAGACTGTGTCAATCTGTACATTTGCTGACCTTTTTTCCCCTTTAAATTAAGTCAAGAACATTCAAGAAAAAAACACAGTAAAAATCCTCCTGAAAGGGTTAATTTTTTCCCTAACAGCTTCTCTAAGCGGAACTTATATTCTTAGTCTGACTTAAGGATATGGAATAGAAAGGCTGCCAACATCTGTTGTGGTCAGAGACAGATGAAAGAGACTAATTCAGAGCTGGAAGAACCCATGTACAGCACTCTGTGCTGCATTACCCTCTCCATAAAAGCACAGGGAGCAGCAGAATGGGAGATGGGTGCTCACCTGAACTTCCTCCCTGCAGAGACCCAGGAGTTCCACGTGTTTATAGGCACCCCCATCATCTCACAGAGAGCACAACATGAAACCTTTAGCTTCCAACTGGGCAACACCAGGCTGAGAATACTTCAGAAACACTGAGTACATAAGCACACTGCTACGTGTGAATGAAAGAAAGGAGAGAGACAGGTGATTGATGAGCCTGCCAAGCACTGGAAAAGTTAGCATAGAACAGATTAATGTGCTAAGTAACTTTGGATGTGGATTAGCCCAATCTTTATTAAGGTGGCCTGATAAAGAGTATCCTCCTAGAGACATGAAGAAAAGCTAGTGCAGTTTCATTCACACTCTCAGTTATTAAACACACTTCATGTAGGCAAGCCTGCAACTTACTGAGACCAGCAACTCCTCAGAAAGAAGCCAGCTGCATTATGACATTATGATGGGCACACAGTCAAAGCCAGCTCAAAATCTACAGAGTGCACAACTCCTGTGTCTGTCTTTACTTTTGCCAGAACTGATTTTACTATAGTGAGGGAACATCAGTATCTGAAGTGGATTTCAAACAACAGCTGTTTTACAAAAGGAAGGGAAATTACAGGCAGGTAACTTGATTACATTACAAGTGAGACTGAAGCCCACTGTTTGGTACCTAAATGTTGTTTTGGTGCATGCTGTGCTGTCTTTATTCCAAGGAAGCAGCCAGTAAAGCCAGAAGAAGCTCTGCCCAAGGAAGGGCAGCCACCCTGCCTCTAGTATCATAAAACAAGATCTATACCTCACCTTTTGTTTGCATCAGTAAGGAAGATTCAGGCATAGAACTGAAATTCCCTGGGGCAAAGGGATGCAACCAGTCAAAACCTCAGCAGCTGAGATAAAGTCTCTTCTAGATACCACCAGCCATTTTAAATTTCCCTTTGCACTTCTTGATCTTAATAGCCTGCAGAACTTCATTGAACATTCATCCTTTGATACAGAAAATTCAGCTGGAATGGCTGTACCACGATCCTCCAGCCCAACTGCCTGACCAAAAGTTAACACACATTAAGAGCATTGTGCAAATGCCCCTTATCACTGACAGGCTTGGGACACAAATCACCTCTATGGAAAGCTGATTATAGTGTCTGGCCACCCTCTGAGCTTCCTAATGTTAAGCCTGAAGCCTCCCAACACAGCTTTATCAGATTATAAAGCACTGTTTGCACCCAGCACTGGATCAATAATTAGGAATTCTTAATAAACACCAGTTTCTTCCCATTTACTGTTAATTGTGCATGCCTTTCACTAAACAGGTGTCAATTTAAAGGCTGGCTTTTCTAGCTTATCCACCACATTGTCAAACTTTTTCTTGAACCTAATTTTTTCTTCTATTCAGTAGCACAATTATGTATTAAATACAAAGAATTGTTAAATCATATTTATTGAGGTTTTACCACTGTTGGAGACACATATTTTGCAACATTAAAAGCCTCAAAATATGTTTTAAATTATTTATAAGTATTTGTTTTGTCATATTGTTTGGTTTTGGTTTTTGTTTTTTTTCAAATATAAATATGTTTTGAATAACTGATCTTTACTTTAGATGCATGGAAATCAATTATTTAAAACATATTTTGAGGTTTATATAACAGCTATACCATGTCTACCTCTTCCATAATCTCAGCCTGCATGTATTAAGATCAGGATGAATCTGGCACTTAAAGACAACTTGCTACAGCTAAATGAAGTATCTGATTAGCTCTTGGATCCCACTGCCTGCATCCCAGTTAAGCAATAAGCCCAGCAGGCTGATGGCAGCCTCTGTGCAAAAGGTGATCCAGGAGGATTTGGCCATCCCAAACCTGCCAGACTCAGGATCTGTATTTCTGGGACTGCCAAGGCAGCTCCCTGCAAAAAGGCAGGGTCTGAGCAAGAAACAGGAGACCTTAGCACACCACATGAGTTCTTCACGCTCCAGAGTCCAAGCCAGATTTATCTGGAGGCAGTTTAGCACATGTAATTTAGAGCAGAGCCCCGCTGGAATGATTTGCACCCTTGCAGTGCTTCAGATGTGCATCCAATAGCGAGCTGCCACTCCATGGGGGTGTCAGTGCACAGCTCCAAGTACAAAACCCAGCACCCAGAGACACCATGGGGCTCTTCAGCTCTGCTTCAGAGAAGCTGAGCCACCAGCTCACATACCCATGGATGTGCCAGGAGGTATCTCCCCCACTCCTGACAGGTATAATACAGGTTATTTTCGTCTTTTCAAGATTTGACAGTGTTCTTCAATAAATAATGAGGTCAAATAGTAATAATGAGGTTTTTAGCCTAAGAAATTTGGAGTTTTAACTTTTAACCTGGTCCTTAGAGATGCTGAGCATGGATCCACATAATGGAAGAAATGCATGAGGAATATGCAACCTATGAATCTGTGAGACACCAGTAGCCTTCCACAGAGTTAATGGAGTTCAGAGGCACTATCTAATACTCTTATAGGTCTCATGCCCAATCTGTAAGTTGCATACCTGAACCTGAGCCACAGCCTGTGAAGCAATAGCATCCACCCAGGAATATCTGCCATATGTGAGGGAGAAGTGCTTTGGAAATCACACCCTGAAGGCATGTGCCCAGTGCACCCTGCACTGCAGGGCAGATACCCAGCCTTCAGCAAATCACCTCCCAGAGAAGCAGCCCAGACTAGGCAGCATCAAGCTCAGCAGATGACCTCTCTATCAACATTGGAAGAGACCTAAAATAAGCAGAACTTAGAGAATTTTATTCAAATTACAACATCAGAAGTCCTTAACTAAAAACAAAACAACCTAAAGTAACATTCTTGTTACTTGTTCTCCAGAATGGTAGGAGCAGCTTCTGTTCAACCCAGTGCCAATCTTTCTATATATTAATATACACAAGGTAGATTATATTCCTCTGCAAGTAGACGTTAGACCTGTAACACCACTGTACTACCAAAAAGCAACATTTAGCAGTCTGACACCACCCCTGTATCCTCACTATTTTCAACAGAGAGGCAAAACCTAGCACTGCACAGGCAGGGAGCAGAGTGGTGAACATAAAGCTGCCATGCCCTAGATCACCACCCTAAAGTCTACAACATCATTTTGGCTTGACCCTCTGGAAGGAGCTCCCTCACACTGCATGGGCAATAGCTCCTGAGCTGCCAAGCAAGACACCACACCTGCAGGACAACACAAGCCTCACCAAAACTGAAACAAGTAGATATTCATTAGCCAAGTATGCAAATGCATTATGCCAACAACATGTCACGTTCTTAGTTATTCATTTTAATGTGCCCATTCCCCTCTGGGAAAGGACTAGACACCTTTCCTGAATATTTTTTGCTGAAGTAGCAGAAATTGTTACAGCATCAAGTATAGCATCAGTATTTAATGGTCTCATATTGCAAACCCTCTGCCACACACAGCAGTCTCACCAGCTTTGATATTTATCAGTGATAAGAAAGTTCTTTTAAATCCTCACAGCAGTCAAAACCAGAGAAAGCCTGGAGAATACCAAGGAGAAAGGACAAGGCTGGATTCATTATTACTTTAACAGCAGCCCACTCTTTCAAACCAGTTGATACTTCTGAAGGCTGTTTGAGTGGTGGAACTGTTCCTAGGCTATTAATTTGGTGTAAGTATTTACTCTGAATAATATTTTTGTGATTCAGCTGCCAGATCTCTTTTATCTGCAGCAATTTCCAGTTAGTAGGTGTCATTTGCACATTGCTTTACATATATTTAAGGTTTTATGGATTAGCCGTGTGTTTCCCAGCTTTGTAACAGATTTCCAAGCTTCTTGCAAGAGCTGATTCAGCAACAGAACATCACAGGCTACAATATCATCAAATATATCTTGGGCAACAGATACATATTTTGACTTTATCCCTCACACTGCATCAGAGGTATAAAGTATTAAGAATACCAGCTTTAGGAAAACAGCAGATGGTTTTGCTCCCACAAGACCACATATTAAAATATGAGTTAGTAATGGAGAACATGCCTACAGCTTTCCATGGACTGTCACCATTTTAAGTAGCTAAAATAAAGGAATGACCTTTCATTCTTTAGCCCATGCATCCATGGATTTTATGGCACTTTTTACAGTCTGCCTTTAACACCATCTCTGCTGGGCACCAAGCAGTCACAAGACAAGACAGCAAGACAAGAAGCAAGCCTCAGAAGGTTTACAGTTAAAAACAAACTAAAAAATATACATAGCCTGCAAAGTAATACAGCACAGGCTTTATCCAGGCTGGGGATCAACACAAGTAAGAAAACACAGAACCGACTCAGTTCTTTGAGCAAGCATTTTTAAAAAGCCCCAAACTTCCAGTTATAACAGACACCAGTTTAGATATCGCTTACCCTCTCCTCCTTTTTCAAAGGCTCAGCTTTCTCCCTTGTGCCTCGAGGAGGGCAGCACTCACCCACAGCAATCCCTGCTCACAGCACAGCAGGAAAGAAGGAACCCCACTCCCCCAGCCCCTCAGCCCTTTATAGTTTGTTTTGCCACCTGGTGTGAGACCCAGCTGGGAAGAATCCTCCAGAACTGCTCCACCCAGAACACCAGGCTGTGGAATTCATGCAGCCTCATGGCTGTCAGAGCAGAAAAGGAGGCAATCCATTTCCCACTGCAGCAGTAATTCTGTCTGCTAACCAGGGCAGCAACTTCTGCAGCAGGCCCAGAAGAAAAGTGTTGTGAGTTCCTTGCAAAGTTCCTGCAGAAATCTTTCCAACATTCTTCAGTTAAAAAAGAAAAGAAAAAAAAAAAAAGCTACTCCCTCTCCTCCATGAATAACACCTTCCCAAAGAAGTCCTGCTTGCAGTCAAAAGGGCCCTGGCACTTTGTTTGCACAGACCTTTCCCAAAGACCACAAAAAGAGTTGAAACTTGTCAAATTACAGGGAAGCACCAACATTTCCCCATGGAAAAGAAAAGGCTATCAGCAGCAGACTAAAAACAAAAGGGTTGGCTTTTGTTTATGATACTTGACTGTGAGAGCAAACTGGGCCACCCATTCAGAGCTGGATCCTGCTCCCTGACTCTGCAGTTATTTTTAACTTCTGTCTTTTTATACCAGTCTGGCTATGAACTTTGCTACAGCTCCTCATACAAAGAGAATTCACAGACTTTCAGCAAGACTGCCATGTTTTAGATTAGATGGCAATTTCAGCTGAAAAAATGACAAGGAAAAAAGTGGCTTCTCTTACTCAGCAGATCTGTGCCTGTGTGTGTTAGGTTATAATGTTTTCACGCTGGTGACAAAACACAGCCCCCTTGTTCTCAGTCATTCAGCCTGCAGAGCTCAGAGAGAGACCATCCATATCCTATGGCTTTCCAGAGCACATCTGTATGAAACTTGAAGGGTTTGTTGTCCATTTTGGATTTTTTTTTCTAGGGGAGTTGTTTTTGGGGGATTTTTTGGGGGAGGTGGTGGTGCTGCTGCTTGTCTGGGTTTTGCCTTTTTTTTTATATTTCTGTATATAAGATGCACAGGTGGATCTGCCCTATGGCTGCCTAACCACGCTCTGTGTGTCCAGAATCTTGTCCCATCCAGAACTCTCAAGATCTTTTCAGCTACCAGTAGGCAAAACATCATGGGACTCACATTTAAGTTAAATTTATGACATTCTCACATAAATCCTCTACCTCCAACAGCTAGGGCTTTGAACAAAATTTGTGAGATTTATGATGAAAATCACCAGGCATATGAAAACACCACTGAGGTTAAGCAAAAACTTCTCAAGAGGCAGGTCTGCAAAGCAAGGGTGTCTTTTGGCCACAGCACAGCCTCTGTCCTCTGGGCCTGTTCCACAAGAACCAGCAGGGTTCCCTGGCAGGGAAGCCCAGTGCAAGCAAAGATGTCCCAAAAGCCATGGTGTTGACTGCCACATGTATTGCACAGTGCACTGCCTCTAAGAGAACCTGTAAGAGGTGGTGCAATGTCCAGGTCCCTGCAGAAAAAGCAGGAGAGGACAGAGGAGGAGCTGCCCTCCCTGTCCAGGGATGTGTGGGACAGCCTGGTCTTGAAGACAGCAGCCTTTGTTCCTACAGCCTTTGTTCCATGTGGGATTCCTCAAAGCTGGCCACAACACAGATGCCATAGGTGCAGCTGAAAACTCTGCTCCTTCCCAGTGGCTCCCTCCAGAGTCTAGCTTTTAGCTTCCTGAGCTTTAGGGGAAAGCTTTACTTGGGGGATGGCAAAGGTGTTGATGGCTTGGAGTTTTTTAAATATCTACGTGACTTCATTAGATTCCCTAAGATAGGAAACTTTAGAATTAAAGCAGCCAAATACATAAATAAAAGTAGAGAAAAAAAAAAGAAAAAAAATGATGTCACCCTCAAGCAGTTCCATCAAGGGATGACATTTTAAATCACATCATGTCTCACACCCATTTCTTAGTGCAAAATAAATCACTTGAACAGAGTGCAAGCCAATTTTTACTTTAAAAAATGTTGTGTCCTAAGGCTCTCTTCTTGAACTTCAAAAGCATACTTCATAATTACTCTACCTATCAAAGGAAACTCAATATTTCACCTCCAACCTCGCTCTGCTTGTGTTATAATTTTTAATTGTTAATAAATTATATTAATTTTAAACTGGTTATTCTGTCTTGAAATTACATCTTTCAAATGGGTATGCAAACTTATTTTAAATTAACATATTTACCTTAAAATTATATATCAGTAATTTGTTTATGACTTTTCTTGCCTCTTAATTCTTATATTAGGATTTGAGTCTTTGGTTAACTCATTTAATTTTATTTGAAAACTGTTGTCTCAATTTAAGAGTCCAAACCTATTTCATAGACCTTGATATCTCTGGCAAGCAAAAACTTTTATTTATCTGGCATATTTATATAGTTTTGCTTGGACTCATGGTTATGCACTGCAAGGTCTTTTGTCACAGCTGGAAAACGTGGAGGTCCTGTTAGCAATCTAAAATCTGATCTTACAGATGCATGCATTCACTCTTAAAGAATACAACACATTGGTGGTTTTAGAGGGGCTACATTGTTTTATTTAGGTTTTACTTAATGCACAGTCCTTGCAAATACTTTCAAGAAAGTCAGGCATGGCAGGTAGGGTGTTTTCTGTGGAGGAGAGGGTGCCTCTGGACAGGGAAGCAAGGTTCAGTGCATATTCAAGTGTGATAATGAAGGCATCATTCTTCACAGATTCCCACAGTCAGCATTTAAGAGTCCTCACTGATTTATCTAGGCTGATCATGTGTTTAAATGGATGAATAACAGTTGCAAAATGGTAGAAAAATTTCAGCACGTTGTTGCCAAAATGACATAAATCAACACCCATGCTTAAGAACTCCAGCATGCAGAAAATACCTTCATGGCAGGACCAACCAAAATAGCTTGCAGAGTCTTGTGCCTGAGAGGAACCTGTGCAGGGAAACAGGCAGGGAAGTTCACACCCAAGCAATGCTCAGCTGGATTCTGAGGCTCTCGTCGTGGACCAAGGCATCCTGGAGCACACTGCAAAGTGAAAAACACATCCAGTTGGTGAACTCGACTACATGGCTGAACAAAACACTTCCCCATTGAAAGGAAAATCTTCCCAGAGATGCCTTTGGGATTTCTGGGCAGAGCACAGGAAAGGAAAGCAAAGCAGAGATTGTCCCTGGAGAATAAGTTGTCAGTATTACGTAAAGATCAGTGCCTACAGGACACTATTCAGTGCTAGGTGGGTACTCTTTAGTCTGCAGTGTGATTATTTTTAATCAAAAAGATAAGATGAGGACTGTCTCACCATTCCAGTAAATTACATATCTACATTCAATTTTATTTTTTTTTCCAAGTATCAGTAGATGACTTCTTTTTTTTTGCCAGTTCTAGATGAACTCTGGCTACCAAATCTATGAGACAAATAGCCTGTGTCTCAGACTGCTACTCCCCAAACATAGCACATTTTATCATCTTGCCCTCTTTATTCTTTATGAACAACAGTCTACCTCTAAGAAAGAAACCTGGTCCTGCCCTTCCTTCAGCCAAGCTCTCTGCTCACAATGAAACCCACAGAGTCAATCACCTTTTCTGAGTTCACTTATCACAGGAAGATGGACTAAATCACAGGGAGATGGAAGAAGTACAAGCACACCAACGAAGAACAGTTTCAAACCAGATTCATGGTCTTGAATAAATCTCAGGGCAGGCTCCCAAATCCCAGCTCATGAAGATGAAAATGTAGTTCCTAATTCTCCCCATGTGTTTCAAACATAATTTTATGAATGAAAGATGGGTCTTCTTCCCAGTTGCTCCCTTCTAGCACAACCCACCCAATTCCAGATTAACCCACCTCCTTCTAGTTCCATCTCCTCTGTGTGGTCGAAAATAAAGCAGGGAGCTGCACCAACAGAGACACTGGATTTCTCCCTGCCAAAGGAGAAGGCACATGAGGTAGGAGGCAACATTTGCTGGAAGCCCAGATGTTGAAACACGTGTTTTTCTCCAGAAAAATGAAAGAGGAAAGACTCATGTGGAATGAGGCAGTGCAGTTCCTCTCTTTTATGTTGCGAGAACTTCCAAAAGAGAAGTTTCTTTCAAACAAAAGTGAGGCATGGGTAGTTTTCCAAATGTTCTAGTTTATTTATGATAGTTGTCTTCATTTAATGAGCAACGTGTCTTCTCTCAAGTCTGGCATAGCCACTGGCTGAAGCAACAGATGTACCACGTGGATGATCCTGAAGAACAAAAACACATCTGTCTGCAGTAGTTCCTTTGGACTCTGAGGACCAAGTGTACAAGCCTGTGGGAACTTCACAGAGACTTGAAGTCCTAATTTATTCATTGTTGATTTATTTACATACATTTACATGCAAGAGCTTCAGTGCCATACAATAATGTCTATAGAAAATTGTAGGATACAAATTACATTTTTTTCCATATTTTAATATATGAAGAAAAAAAATAATAGAAGAAGCTTTAGTCATCTATGAAATGGCATGTTGTTAGATCTTTGTGTATTGAGGCAGGCATTGGACATTTTATAATGTACACAATTGGCACACCTGGGAAAAAATAGACACACTGCTAGCTGAAATGCCTAATCTCTTCTTTAGCACATTTACGGTTTAATTACAAAACCTACTGAACAATTAAAATTCAGGTCAGCACACTGCAGCAAGATCAGGCTTTGATGTGGGGTCAGTATTGGTCACAGTCCTGTACTCATTACACAGGTTAATCAATTTGGTGGAGTAAATATGACAGGACTGACCAAAAATCAATGTAATTACCATTGCTCTGAGAGCACAGGCAAGCACAGCTGGTTTATGTGTTTGTAAGTGGTGTTTTTGTCTAACAAGCAGAGACCCAGAGCTGTTGGTGTAAAGCAGATTTGTTTCTTCTGTGAGCAGAAGAAATTGTACGTGTGGCACGCAGCAGGATGTGCACCCCCATGGCAGCACCCTCACACATACACACACAGACACACACAGTC